ATATTTATAAGTTCTGCCTACCCACTCTATTTTCACCCTTCAAATAGGTAACTTCATGGAGTTCAGTTCTGAACAAGGGAAACTTCAGTGACAAAGGGAGTGTGGATACTTTATTCATAGTTATCATAACTGAACTCACAATTCCATGCTAGGTTAACATGTCCAAACATTAGCACAGAAGGTGGAAAAGAGGCAATAGAGGAGCATACCATTCAATACCCAAAACATAACTGCATGCATTCTTTTCTCTGTCATTTCCTTTTATGGGAATCAAATGTACATTTCTTCACCCCCAAAAATCCTACCTATTATTCAGAGAAATTGAGATTGATTTTTATTCTTCGGAACTTGGAATAGAATGCTTTCTTCACTGTGATGTCCATAGGATCATTAGGCCTATAAGTTCCAGAATTTGAGTCAGCAAGTCTTGGCTTGAAACCAGTGAGACAAATAAGGAAGGATTTATGAAGCCTATTCTGAATCTATGAAACCAAAAAAAAAGAATGTATTATTATATTGGGCATAATTGATGATGACTGATACCCAATATCCACTTATTTAATTTCCTGTATCATGTGGATGGCTTTTCCTATTCTCCATTTTGTATCTTCTTTTAGGTTTATTTTTCTCTGGATATTCATTGATGTGTGATTTTCTAAAGTCATGTTATCAGATCTGGTTTTCTTGCCCTTTTTTGTATATGTAGGTGATAAGGCTACTATATTGAAATCTCCTATCCAGAATCCCTTTTGAGCCTGTCCCTGCCCTTTTGTGTGATACTGATTGCATGCACACTTGATGTATTTCTTCCTGTGAAAGGATCCTTCAAATTTGTTCATCTTTGCATGGATTGTTTTCATATTGTAGATGGTAGCAAGTGACCATTGTGACCTCAATGGTCTTATTTCTGATCTATCATCATTCTGAGCTAAGAATCTTCCATCAGATTGTCTGATTTTTTTTGTAGATTCAAAAGCAAAACTGAGCGTATCATATACCATTCGACTCTGGAATGAAGGCCTACTTTCATGGTCTGACAGAGTTATGATCTTGCTATTACAGTTATCAAAAGAATTATGAAATTGAGGTATCCCATTTCAAGTCCAAGGAACATACCAGCTTGATTTTGAGAAACATTTTTTTAAACTGGTTTCTTAAATATTTGTTGCAATATTTGTCAGCCTCCTATATTTACCTTGTTGTGTCGTGTCTACTACTTCTCTCCAGAACTGTATCAAACTGAAATTTTTTCCCAAAGTCTTGCAGTGTGATTACTGAGCAATTGGACCATAAGTAAGCCATGAATGATGGAAATGTGTGCAAAAATGAGAGGTTACTCATCTACATATATGTAGATGTGATATACTTTTAGGCTCCATCACTGCTGCTTCTTCCTTCCTATGTCATCAACTATGGCTGGATTTGTCTGTATTGGGACAGTAGGAGTGCATCTAAGGCTGCTTTCTGCAAAAATGATCTCTATGTGATGAGATACCAGAGCTATGAGTGGAATGATACTGCTAGTGCAGTAAAAAAAAAAAATAAAAGAGCCATCTTTTTTTATTTGGTGAATCATTTGATGATAAAATGGAAAAGAGAGTATCAAGTGGGGAATATATGCCATCTGGAGAGTTCATATCTCCCAATTTTATCTTCACTTGATAGACCATGAAATAGTTTCTCTTTGTCTTATATGATTAGTTACTTATGAAGAATCCAAGATTCAGAAAGTGGTTTCTCTCATGAAGTATTGCATAACCCCTTTATCAGGGGAAAGTTTTGAAAATATCCAGCTCAAAAAAAAGTAAGATGTCCACTATAAGAGCTCCATTGGCTTATACTATCTGGAAGTTCACAAACTCTATTTCATTAACTTGTGAAGACTGCTCCATTTTGCTATAAACAAGCCCCCTAGGGCTGTAAGAGATCCATTTTCAGCCATTAAGAGGCAAGGAAGTCTGATTAGTAGACATACATATTTTTATTTTAGCTAAGAATCCTTTATGGATTCATGCTGATGGAATGCTATTTTAGGAAGATTTTTAGCTTAGATAAATGTATGATTTTCTGTGTTAATCCCCTTTACATAGCTTTAGTAACTTTGCCATTATTGAATTTTCCATGCCTTTTCATTTTATTAGTTTATATTTCCATTCTGATAACTTTGTGTTCCTTTTAGTTCCTTTTTTTTCTTTGAACTTGGCATTGAAGTGAATGCTCATTGTGATTCTCATCTTTTTTACGTTGAACTTTTTTGCCATTCCCTGGTCTTGGAATAAATTGGGAGAAAGACAATATGAACAGACTGTGAGCGTGTTTGATACCGTTTTGAATAAGGAATATCGACCTTGTTCAGAAATAGAGCATATATTCTATATAAAAAGCGAAAAAGGGGGTACAATATAAGAGGAATATATCAGCTATAGAAGATCGGGATGGATGTATCCATATGACCACCATCCCCGACAAATGTTCTGAAATTCAACGATAAAAAAGCTGGTTATTTTATCAACAAGAAAGTTGATGAAGCCGAAGAGCTTTAGAAAATGATCAAAATCAGACGAAACTTTTGACCAAAGTGGAATAGTGCAATGTGCCCTCAAACTTCGGGTTCAGTCAACATCGACGATTATCCACCTGTCGAGGGCACCAGGAAAAAGTAGGCTCTCTTCGCCATTAATAGTTTTCCCAGCAGCCAGACTGAGACATATGTAAGAAAGTCTTGCGGCAACAGATTTCAAGGGTCAATATACCATTGATCCGCCGAACGCGTTTGTGGCCTCATCTCTTTTTCCCTAGCCCTTTGTGTCTACCAACACAGCTCCGTATGTAATCAATGGGAGAAGCAACCTACCCTCTCCTCTAGAAATTAAAGAAAAAAAAGAGTGACTATTTTGACAGGGTGCGGTCCGCGCATCATTCTCTGTGAAAGCCAAGTTCTGGTACTTTCAATTATTTCAGGGTTCGGTAGCGTACCTTTACCTTTCTACACTCCAACAAGACATTCTTGAACGTTGTCTCTTGAAAGCGATTGGAAAGGCTTTATGGAAACGAACGCTTTCATCAGGATTGGAGCATTGGACAGCCATATAACGTAGCTGGTGGAAATGGCACACTGATCTAGGAAGGCCGTGACGATGACGACCGAGACGACGAGGCCGTCAAGTCTCGTGTGGGATCAAACTTGAGTTTTACGCCTGGCATTGTTGCTCGGAGCTTCCGCTTGGCTTCTGCTGCCTTAGCTTTTACCTCTCTTGCATGTAGAATGTCTTCGTTGATGTGACCTCGACACCTGAAAGAAAACTGAAATTTCTCTGGTCTTTGAACACCTCATGCATACTGCACCAGCTATTTTCCCTCCCTATCTGTCATGTTACGCGCATACATAAAATACTGTACACCACACACATACATGATATAAACTTGGAATTCCACCAAGCTGCCGAGACGAAGCACTTCGCTCGCGTAAGTAAATCTTCATTCCCCTGAATCATTGGGAAACGACGTCAATTCATCGAGAAAGATGTGATCGCTGAACCGCACTTTTTTTTACTACGAAATCTCACTCGAAACACGGTCTCTGCAGATTCGTTCTTTCTCGACTTGGACTTTGCAAAACAGGAATACACAATGCTCGCCTTCCTGCATAGAATAGGATTTTTATGAACTCTCTACTGGTGTGGTGTTTTTTTCTTCTTACCATCCAAAAAAAGCAAATTAATTTTTGTTCGCTCTCAGATGATTTACCAAGGCCCAAGAGCTTATGCCTTCTGGCAAGAAAAATAAAAAGCAGGCCGCTGCCGCCGTATTCATCCAACGATGGGGCCCGTTGTCATTACTGAGTGCTTTGACCGTGTGCATCGCCATATGTTGAAGGAATTTTCTCGAATGCATACCCGTCCCCTCGATTACAGACTGGTGAGACGCCGAAATTGTTACTTTCCATAAGCGAATTATTATTCATATTTGACGTCAGCAAGTGGTCCGAAATCCGATTGTTAGTAGACAATTCGTCGCCGCCGATAGGTCGCAAGTACGATCAGTCCAAGGAAACATCAGTCGTGAATGGTATTTGCCGTGGATCAGATTTGTAGTCAAGGATATGGTATCATCATGTAACTAAATTATTCATACATGTAAGTGATCTTGAATATGAATAAGAATCATTATTATGAAGTCAATAATGACTAGCTGTAACGTGTGAACGGTGAAATATAATAATCACAGTAAATTAGTACTTTTATTAAGTTTCCTTACCACAAAGTATGACAATATCGACCTCGGATCGTAGCTGTTTTTGATGCGAAGGGTCTGCTTCTTCAATAATGAGAAATGCCATAACTTTCATGGAAAATGCGGGATTCATGGTCGATCACACGTGCAATCTCGGCCGGTAACAGGTATTCAAAAGCCTGAGGAACATGACTTTGGACCGGAGCGAGGCCGGAAAGCATATTTTGAAACTGAGAATCCATCGACAAAATTTAGACGAAAATCCTTTGATTAAATAAACAAACACTTGCTCTCGCATCTTCTGCAGGTTTCGAAATTCATCGCTAATGAATTCCTTCATTTTTTCATTTGCAGCTAGCGACTTGAAAGTCACGAGCTCCATTTCCCATCATATTTCCTGTGCCTTCCTAACTTCCATGGGTATACGACTAATTTTACAGGCGATGTGTTTATTATGCGACCAATTACCATGGCATGTCGACGAGTTCCACCTGCGACGAAACTGGTTTCCTACCTCTTGTTGGCAGCGAATCGTAAGCGATGAAACCAGCAACAGATAGACGGGTCGCGGAGTCTAAACGTGTAATAGGTCTTCTCGTAATGCTGACTATGGGGAAATCTCACGACCCTTCGTTATTCCCTAATTCCCTTTAGAATAAAACTTTCCCTCGGGGGGGGGGGGCATAACTCAGAATAAGTGGATTCCGGAGGAAGGGACCAATGGGAGGAGATTCAACTGGTGCAAGAGATGTGCGAAAGGATGACACTCACGAGCCGATGCAGTAATCAGATCCAGGAAGAAAATCGCCTGAAACACGAGGCTTCTTGCAATTATAGCACATTTCAGCACCACAACTGCAATGTATCGTGTTGCAACCACCTGCCTTGATGAATCGTTTCCGACATTTGTAGCACTCCCTGCGAAAACGACAAAATAAGAAAAGGAAGATTGGAATCGATGGATTCATCGCCGTACATTGTACCTCGTCCCACCTGATCATGGACTCGGACATCTCGTTCTCCAAATATGTTCGTGCTTTCACTTCTTCCTCTTTCTCCACCTCATCACAGCTCAATGGAATGTGGTTGGGTTCCTTGCAGAACCTGCAAGAAATGCAACATCCTTGGTCTGGAAGACTTTTTTTTCTGAAATAATCATCTGAAAGGCTGACGCCAATTTCAAGAGGATCCAGAACCCAATTTCATGGTATACTACATCTAAGCACAATGATGAAGAATGAGGCCAAGGTCCCGATTTGACCCTTTTATGACTATGAATCTGGCAGAAAGGGATGAGATTTTATTTTGTAAACAGAACGGAAACTCACCGGCATGATTCGTGCATGCATTCTGGGTTGAGACACCTGAAAAGCTTCTCCTCGGGGTTCTCCATTATGATGGCAAAGTAGCAGGAAGGGCAAGATTCAAGATTTGGGATGCCTGCGGTTCTAATCTCCTCGGCTTGCCTCTGCCTCAATATGCGGGACATCACCGACGGCCTCAAGAGTTTCTATGGCAAGAAAAACCAGCGTTCTCGTGAGATCCTGGACGATCCCAGTCAGGCATCATCCTCGTCTTACGGCAAGTGTATGGTAATGGAAGAGAGCCGAGCAGGATAAATCCAAGCAAGGAAAATCCACTTTTCCTACCCCCACCAACTCTTGAACGTGTCTGTTGGAGAATACACGGCATCGATTTCACCAGTGGGCACGCGAGAGGAAACTTGGACTGGAAAGTATAGTCAAACCTCGTCACACAAGATCTGCAAAATATATGCCCTGCTGAACAGGCCTCCATGTCCAAGCAGATGAGTTCGTCTTCGCAACAAATGGGGCACTCCAAGAGACTGCCTGTTCTTCGAGCTTCGCGCTTCTCCCGTTCCCGGAGATCCCTCTGCCTTTCAAAATCATCTCGGATCTCAGCTTCCAGCCGAAGGAAGGTCAGCTGTAGAAACATTTCATGACATTGTATGAGCGAATTTCAACATCATCAATGGGGAAAATCCAGTCTCTTTGCGGGAATATGCCTGCCGAGGCCTCGTCGAATTCATCGATTTTTCGGGCAGTGCCATGAATAAGAATTGGGTGAATAATAAGACACTTCCATTCTTTGATGTATCAAGGCACAACTTCTTGTGTCTAGTGGATGCATATCTGATGCGAGACAAACGGGAATACCAAAAAGTAGGATAACTAATTCGACTTTCTCTCTACGTGGATAAGAATCGAAAGTTAGACAGGAGAAAATATGGAGGGGTGGTCGGTAAGTTGTTGGGGCACATCTCCAGTGGAGGCTAACAAAATAAATCTAACCCCTCAAACCGTTTCGCGTATTTGATATCAATACATCGTCGCAGATCTGACAAAAGGGCGAATTTGCAATATTGAAAAATTGTAGGAGAGTCACAATTTACCTTTCTTCTAGGCAGAATAATGACTATAGATCAACATTTCTTGTTGCAACAGAGAGCCCAGACTCTCAATTCTTTGGGGCACGAAAGTGAATATTTCTCAATTTTCCCTCTTCAAATCGAAAAATGAGCTTATTCTTGCCCTCTTTAAATCGTAAACGTTGCTTATTAGACCTTTTTGTCACACTACCGATGATACGAACCTGCGACAACGGAAAAAAAAAACTAGGAATACAAAATCTACTGCTTTTTCAAATTTTGATCAAGCTTCCCCTCCAGGAAATTTTTGAAATGAGGCAAGTCTGAGACGTGTGTGACTGAGGAGAAACAGGAAGGAATCTGAGTCGCCCTGACAACATATATACCAGGTGGCCCAAAAAAAGCGTTCCGAACTTCACACGCCTGCAGATGGTGTACCATATGAGTTATCGACAGGAAATTTGCAGACTTTTACAAGCAATGTTTGCAGGTAATGCAACAAAAATTTAATTGAAATTGGTTGGAAACTACATGAGTGACAATTTTTTCCCCGCGCGATGTCAAGAGCGAGTGTGCAAAGAAACGCGCCTGAACTCAATGTAAGAACTGCTTGATGGGTCCTCCATGGATGTGTCCTCCTTGGATCGCCCGCCGAGGCAGCACGCCGGCAAACGCACTAACACATTTGCTCATTTGACGACTTGTACGGAAAGAGCTCTTACTCATGTTCAGAGCAGGGAATTTCGTTGAAATTCACTTAAAAGCACCTACATATATTGGGTATGACGCACTGAAAATTTCAAGATGATGATTTCAGAACCAGGGAGACAATGACGATTCTGAATCAAATGTTTCCGAATCGTTTGACTTCGCGGTTTGGCGATGCCAATTGACCCGCGCGGTCACCGGATTTAAGTGCTCCTGATTTTTTCTTGTGAGGGTTCTTGGAATGAGCGAGTGTACGTCAACAAACCCACAACACTGGAGGAACTTAAAACCAACATCAGAGATGAAATCGAGCAGCTTACAACGGAGACTTTAGAAAATGTCATGAAAATGTCTTGTTTTGTAACAAGACTGGGACTCTGCGAAGCGGGCCAATGGTGGGCACCTCAAAGACATAATTTTCCATTGTTGAATTACCTTACAAAAATTCGCAAGAAGTACTTTTTTTCTATTTGAATTTTTTGCTTTCATTGAACAGTTCAAAAGTTATTCCCAAAGGAAATTGGATGATAAATATTGGCCCACCCTGTACAAGACCGGATATTTCGTTTATGTCATGGATGATTGAAACACGATTTGATTTCTCGGACGACCATGGGAATAGCACATGAGGATCCTTGGGAGATTTTGTTCATCGGAGCCGACTGGAAAATAATATCCGATTTTCAAAGCAAAAGGAAAATCACTAGCTCGAAGGGCTGAAAAGGCTCCGGTTACAATATACCTACATCTTGAAATTAGTATCTAGATAAGATGCTTCCCAAATAGCAGTTAGTTGGCCAGAGGCGGTCCAGGCGCTATGCTGGCGGAGGCGGTAATTTGACGGCTGGAATATTAGATCAGCCAGCGGTCCACTTCCTTAAGGTTATTGTATCTGATGAAATGTGTCGTTCCCCTGGCGGTGCGGAAGGTGGCGCAAAATGGGACAAGCAGCAGATGACCTGCAACCTAGCAGAGGTGGTAAGCCACGACCTATCTGTCAATCGGTTTAGATACAGACTTGCAAATGACTCAAGGACATATAAGGAATTAGGGTTTTCAAATAATTGTCACTAGGTCAACATGGACAAAAAAGAAATTAAATTAAATTAAATAAAGTGCAATTGGCATGTAAGAAATTATAAATAAAACGAATGTATCTAGGTATATAGTTAGGAGAGTCAGGAGAGTTAGTGATATCAAGAGGCGATTTCGCCCATTTCGATATCACGTGTCGAGGTCGAGCGTTCCTTAATTTTAGGGTAAGCCTAACCCTCTTAAAGCTAAATATATTTGTATTTTTTTTTTTTTTTTTTTTTTT